GGGTCAGGCAAAATCGCGCAGGTGCGTGCGGTACGCGGGGGAAATCTCAGCCTTGGTGCAGCCTCGTCCGTCAGCGCTGGATAAAACGCGACTCGCTGCCTTGGTCCCAGCGCGTGTTACGCTACAGCGCCCTGATTTCTGCTTCTTAAGGGAAAACGCAGCAGTTGCTGTTGATGCAGACTGACACAGAAGTACCATCTCAAAACACACGCGGTGACGCGGTCCTGTGAGGTTTTGGCAAATCTTTGGTCACGCTCTATCAGGTGAGCGCAGAGTAAGCCACTGTCGCATTTTTCTGGAAAAGCTACTCGCTTCTAACGCACCACAAAACTCCTAATTCCAATGTACCCCAAAGATGATGTTTCCCACATTGGGGTTGTGCTGTTATCTGCCTCTTTTGGCGGTATCAGAACAGATGAAACCCAGAGCAACTCCTGACTGGAAAAAAAAAATATGGAAGATGTGGAAGACTGGCAGATATGCCTAGTGCCTGGAATTTTTTCGATGGAGTGACAGTGGCCAGGAGTCTGCGCTAGGGATGTCAAAACCAGACAAAGACAACAAGGTCTCTGTGCTGGCTAGCTGGTTGCAAAAATCCTAGGATTTTTGCAACCCCACAAGGTGTCACAAACCTGAAAGCTTTGGTGCACTAAAAGCCAGAAGTACAGTTTTCTCTTTAGACTCTACAGTGATGCAAGCTAGTAAAGCTAAAATGAATCAGTTAGAAGTTTCAAAACTTTATAGAAAAAGATCAGATTTATATATACTAAGTAATTAGCTCATTTTTAATAGAGGGTTTAAAAAAAAATCCTTCTGTTTAACTATCCTTCCCTACTGAGCTGCCTTTAATTACCTTCCACTTCTCTGACTGTATGTTTTCTTTTCATATGCAAACAATGCTATAGCGTCTGATCATAAAGTAGCAAGCCACATTGCCTTTTTTTTTTTTTTTTTTGTCATTAAATAGGTACGTTGTAACACAAGACTTCCAGCTTCCCTCCACTTTTTTGTCTTGCACAAAAGACTCTGGAGTAGATTTTAAATTAGGCTGATGTTTACTACCTAATTCATGTTAGTGGAACCAAAATGCTGTGTATCCTGTAGTTCTTTTCTGGTTGCTTTCAGAAAGCATAAATTAAAAGCAATTAGATTAGGGATCAAACAGAACCATCTTTCAGGAGTTAGGAATCTTCAGTCCTGTAAAATGGGGACATTATCTAGAACTAGAAATCTTGGCTTTAATCCATCTATGCTAGCAAAGAATTTCTGATGTACACTTCTGCAGCACTGTCGGCAGATGGCTTACGACATGCAAACAGTATTCAGATAAAGGTGTTGATAAGGCAACAAAAGATGAAAAATCCACTATTTCCATCTAGTGGTGAGACAGTATTTCTGGATCCAAAGTATACAGAGATCTAGCCATCTACCTATGCTGAAGGTTGCTTACGTTTTTGAATCCTCCTACAAACCTTTTGCTTGAATTTATTTTCCTCACAATTTTTCAGCTCTAGGTGTGTAAATTCATATAAGATCATCTTTTTATCAAGAAAGGAGAATCTTATCTCTTTTTTTTTCTGAAAATAGTTAATACCTCTTTCAATTTTTACAAAAATCTAATGTTTTGTATATTAATCTCGTGATAAGGCGGACTGTCAATGCCACATCTTGAAAATTCTTTGAAGCGGAATATAGCACTGAAATCTGTGGTATTCACACATCAGAGAAAGTCTACTGAAGGTGACCAGAAATTTTTCCTTCTGGGTAAGATACATGTGGGCTGCGCTGCAAAATATACATTATTTTTTTACTATGACAGTACAGTGTATGAATACTGTGTGTTGGTCAAATATTTCAAAGATGAGGGAACTCATTTCCCTACTTTGGGAGACAAAATAACAAGGTTAGATATTCAGAGACGCTTAACCCACTGGAATCTCTCTCTGTAAATCTGTATTCCTGTCTGATTTGGGGCTAACCTCAAGGTCAAATGTTTCCAAGTGTCATGCATGTAGTCTGCTCTCCTGTCTAGATATACCCAAATAGAAGCAGCAAATACATACATTAATACTGGAACACATTGAATTTGTATGCCATATATTACTATTTCAGTGCAAAGAGCTGAAGTTCTCTGAGAGAAGTTCTTTTTGTCTCCAGATTAGGCTATACATTGTCCAAGAGAAGCAGAATCAAAATTTACATTGAGAACTGTAAATTTTCTTTTGAAAGCTAGTTGCACGGAAAACACGTAGCCACAGTGAGAAGCAACCACCTGTTTGGCAGTTTGGGCCTGCCAGAGAGAATGTTTTCCCAAGGTAGTCAAGCCCTTGAGTCTCGTAGGAAGGAGGATATTACAATCCTTTATTACCAATTGCAAAGAAAAAGGCCAAGGGAAAAGAGTGCAAAGAGACCTTCGTTCCACTCCTTTGGGCAACTGTGCGTAGCACAGCTATGCTTCACCCAATGGCAGTTGGGAAGCTGTGGCCAGCAGTGCTTGAGGTTTTTCTTCACGTAGCCATAGCTTTACCCACTGCATGCAAGCCAAGCCAGGCTTTCTCTTTCGGAGTAGTAATACCTGCTGCTTGGGCAGGGCAGAGCACCACCTCCTCTTCTGCAATATATCGCTGATTAGGAGGTGCAACTTTTCCCCTAGACCTTTACTCATTAAAAAGCCCATATGTTTAATTTGGAAGGAACCCAATCTGATAACAGTATGCTTTGTCTTACTGTGTAAGAGGGAAGATCTCACCTTCCTTCTAGTATATGTATACTACATAGCACCTTCTCTAAGTGCCAGGCTTCTCATAGACGAGATTACCTCTTAACAAAGCTTTGAGAAATGGCCAGGAAAACTGGACAGCACAGCCCAAATTTTACTCTTCAGTCTACACCTAGCTGTGAAAAAAATGAAAACAGCCTATGAATAATAGTTACTCACCCCCAAGGTATGGATGAGAAAAATTGCATAGGTAGCATAGCTTTGTTTCTGTTTCCTTACTGTTCGAGCGTGGTTTTTCTTTCCCAGCCATGTCATCATTGGGCAGACATGATCAAACACGTGTTATGGTTGCATATGGTCACATAGCTGGCACAGGTAAGCTCAGAAGCTCATTACTTGGGCAATACTAGACCAGGGATTATGAAGCAACACATGAACCTACATGTTTTCATTTGTATGTCAATATGCTCAAAATTTTCTAGCATAGAGGTATTTCATTACCTCTGAGTTAAAAGAGCTGGGCATATCCTGCATTTTCTCAATGGGCTTTGTGCAATAAATCTCAGTTTTCAAGTCAAAACAAAGCTGTTTTACTCCCCAGCACGGACTTAGTCTTAGGCATTAGCCTCTAAGGAGACCTTGTGATGGATCTAGACATTGTTGCTTAGGCTGCCAGGGACAAGCTGGCTGTTACTTGTACACATACAGTATCTGGCCAGTTCGAGCCCTGATCAGAGCTGATGCCACGAAGCATTACTATAATGCAATTAACACACCGTCAACCTCAGCATATGTTCTGCACACGCTCATCAGCATGTTCAAAACAAGTTTAAAGAGAAATGCTTACACTGATGGTAAAATTTACCACTGCAACATTGTGACAGCTCACTGGATGTACCCTGCCCAAAACGATGGGAGAAAGCACAAAAGCCTGCAGTAAGCAGCTCCAGACTTCACATTTCAGAGGAAAATGACCTCATTTCAGCTCCGTGCCAGCTCGGAGTGACATCAGATATAGGAGCTTGTGTCTAATTTTGGAAGCTTTTAGAAATCCCACTGGCATCTACCCTGAATAGTAATCATCCTCACATCAGTATGAAAATATTTTTATTTATCTTCAGAATTTGATAATAAGCACAGTCACAAAGAGGTTAAAGAAGAGATTAGGATGTTTACAAATTGCACATAGTTGTAGTCTGAGCATTGAAAAGGCCTTTGATCTACATAAAGGAAAAACTCATTTGCAGGATATACCTCCTCACAGAGACTTTCAGAAAGATAGTAATCTGGCACGGCTTTTCAGAAAACTCAGAATATATAAAAACTAGCCCGAAGCTCCATAAATAAAACCAAATTTAAAAAAACCTCCTTGTCCTTTCTTTGTGGGCTCAAACAATAAGGACATAAGGGCAAGGACCGCTCAGTCAAATGAAAGGCAAACTGATTTAGAGTAAGTAATCATAAAAGAAATATTTCTAAAAACAAGGAGTAATTTGCTTATGAAATTTAGAATCACAAACTACAGACTTGTCAGATGGATTTTAGAAGGAGTGTATAAAGTCTTAGCATTAAAACCATATTTTTAATTGCATATTATAAGCAGAGTTTACTTACTAAGCATATTACTTGACAACCGCAAAGATAAGAGCAGGAAAAAGTTTAGGTTATAGTTATAATCGTTGCACCACTTTTCATTCTCAGGACATCACCAGAGCATCACATATACAGCAGTTTGGAGGACAGGGCCTGCAACATGTGCTCTATTGAGGAAGTGTCTTCTCCGTGGTCTGGAGAATCGCATTTTCCCTCTGGCATACTCGCCCAGCCTCACAGTTTGTACTTTCCTTTCTGCACAGAAGCACACCCGTAGCATGAGTAAAGACGTCCCCTGTGCCCTGCTGTGTTATACCTTGGCTATTACCACAGGAAAGCGGGAGCTTGAGTCTCCCCCAGCTGAGGAGACTATTGGGTTTAGTGTCACCACAGCCTTGGAAAGTGCCCTAACCCTCTTCCCTGCCTCTCAGGTGTGATGTAGGTAACACCACCTTTCTCTGGCAGCTTTTGAGTGAAAGTGGCTGTTGGCTGTGGCTCTTTGTGCTGCACAAACTTTGTCATCAAGGTGCGTGAGGAATAGTCTGTCTGCCACACTGGGTCTCCCAAAGGACTTTGTCCCAGGGTGTGAAGGGCTTCGGTGTAAAATAGATGCCCAGGCTGGTACTGATAACAGTTAGACTAACTTTTGCCAAAGAGCACTAGACTCCTTACATCTGCCTAGAGCCAGTGACGACAGAGAGAGGCTCTCTAAGGGTTAGCTTCCATTTCTGACTCACCTTGAAGTATGGACTTTCTTTGTCATGGACTGTAGAAAGAACCTAGGAAAAACCTTTTGAAGCTCAAACTAGTTTTTACCACCATCCCATGACCATTGCCAACACACCAAGTCTGCCAAATGTCACATGACTAGCGTTCAAAAGACCTCCTTCCAAGAAAGCGCTTGCCTCTGGCATCTCAGCCAGCCATGCAGGACAGGCAGGTATTCTCCTCTTCTAGACCTAAAAAGACTCATTGCATTTGGGTTCACATCCTTGATTCTTTCTTTAGATCTGATCTCATGAATCTAACACTTAGGCCAGGGAAAACGTGTAGGCAAGTAGGAAATTACATTGCAGTTGCCTGAATTTTCCCTCTGCTTCTGCCACAAGATAGTTTCTGCTACTTTTTCTTGTTGCATGAGCATGTATAGTAGGGGGCAGTCTAACTTGATAGTGAGCTAGCTTATGTGAAAGAAAGGAAGAATTAATCATCCAATTCTTAAACTTGCCATTTCCAGTAAGCACTGTAAAATCACTTGAGAAATGGATATGCAAGACGAGTTCTATAAAACCTCGCATAGAAAAAGAGACTGAAAAAAGAATCACGAAAATAATAATTATTTCTTTTATTCATGACAGTGCTTTGAACCATTCACATTAACTGATAATGAAAAGACAGTTTAGGAAGTCTGTGCATGAACTGTGTTTGAGATGACAAATTTGCTGTTTGCCCTTCTGTAAGCTGGCGACTCTGTTTTTACAGTAAGAGACAGTCTTTGACTCTCCACTGTTTCTTTACTTCATCTTGGACTCCGATGCCAATTAGTGGAGGGAAAGAATTAATAATACATCTTACAGCTTCAGTGATCACTTAGAGAGAACTTTGGGGAAAAACACAACCTAGACAAAACAATTTTTCTGCATTACAAATAGGCTATGCAGTTCCTACTTCTGTGAGGATAAAGCAGAGAGCTCACATCAAAAATACTTTACAACCTACCCAGATTAAGACATGTGTAAGAAAAAAGAGGGACCTGTGTTAGAACTGTTTTGGTACCTAAGCACAGCATCATGACGAGCACCCACAAAAAGGAGTAACTGAGTAACTGTGTTGCATGTACAATGCAAAACTATTCATTACTGAAACAGAAGAAATAGAAGTGCAGCCAATACCCTGTCCTGCTACCTGATCTCTTCCTTCCAAAGGGAAAGGGAATCCCATGAAGTTCTACAATGACCACTCTTACCCAAACTTCCTTCTACGATCTGCAAGGCTGTCACATTCAGTACGAGAACCATACGCTATGTCCACACCTTTAGTTAGCTTTCCGTTTTCTGCGGCTCTCCCACAGTGGTGAAATGGCAAGATACTCTTTCTTCCTCTCTGTCATTTTTATTCATAAAAAATCCTATGTACAATAAAGAAAGCAATACCATAGCCATGTCATTCATCATGCAGTCAAGATTTCACTCAGAAAATAGAGAGGTTGCATTGTTTGCCAGCTTGCTGAAACTTAAGGCATTGGATTTGATTTATTTTGCTGTATGAAGCTGCTTGTAGGAATTTACATAAAAGAAATCTTGTCCGTGCAGTTTGCTTCCCCTTCAACCTGAACATCTTCAATTTGGTATCCTTCAGGGTATGCTGAAAGATCCATAAACTTTGAAGACCTCCTTTGGACAAAACAGGAAGATTTTATTGTTCATGACAAGTTCAATTATTTCATGAGGTTACTAAGCTATCTAATAAGTTGATTGTATTAAAGGAATTAATTGTATTAAAGGAATGACTACTTCTAAAAAATATATACTTAGGATATTTGTCATTTAGCTGTGAGTTTTGCATCTGTATAATGGCTAAATCTTTGCTAGCTGTTTTATCTAGATGAATTTTAAAAATAGCTTCATGATGTACTTATTAAACTTTCTAATCTCCTACCTTAGTGAGAAGCCAGAGAAATTCCAGGCATCAGCATGAAAGAAAGAAAAACCCAAGACACTATACACTTTAAAGGAACAAAAGTTAAATATTAACAAAGAATTTCATTTCTGTATACTAATTACCACATTTCTGGCCCAAAGATTTTTACAGAACATCTAATACAACAAAAATAAGAGCACTAGGGGAATGAAAGTCATGAAGAAAAAGGGTGAAGGGGTCAAAAGAAACAGAGAAAAAGCAGTAAGCGGGTAAAGAAAGAGCACGTTGCTCTGCCTCTTGCCTGTCCTCCAAACCTTCTGAAGAGATTGTTAGTCTACAGGTTACGAAAAACTGTGAAGGACTTGGTCTTTCCCAGGGTTTGCTTCTATTTTAACTGAGCACTCCCTTCACAAACAGGCCTGCTACTTCACTTTTCTAGCTATTATGTCTTAATAGAGACAATCTTCTCCCGTTAGCAAGTCAAACCTGGCTCATTCAGTAAAGCACAATGCAGCTATCACCTTTGATAGGTGCTAGTGCTAGTAACTTCTGTTTGCAGTACTGCCAGTATATGAGTCTGCTTTACATCAAGTACAGTCTCTAAGCTCACATTAATTTGCTTTCAAGTACAATGTTTGAAACTTACAATAAAAGATGCAATCAAAACAGATGAGCACATGGAATTTCTTTCATCCTCACACCTCTACACATCCCTGGGTACAGTTTTAATTTTGTAAAATCTTGAGAAGACCAACTCAATGTAAAGATGATTTGTTGTTCAATAAAAGACGATTAGAGAGCAGTCACACCTCTAATTGCTTGTGCTGCTGTGGCCCAACATTTCTCAAAATATAGAGCGATGCTGGGGTGGAAGGACAGAAGCAGCAGCAGCCTGCTGGGAGCAAAGCCTCTTGGCTACTCTAAGTTCTTGGCAGACCACAGAAAAGGCTCAGAAGAGTGACCTAGGCCTTCCAGAGGGAAAAGATAGGAGTGGATGAGACCAAATATTATCAGGAAGGAAAAAGGATATTAAGTGAGAAGAGGAAGGGAGGGGAGGTGCAGTTCAGAGAGGAATGGCTGATAAGTGAGCTGTCAGTCAAAGGTAGCTCCAAACCATCCAGCGGAGAAGCAAAGGCCTTGCATTCAGAGAAAGTGGCTGCACATTTTGTTGGATGAAGTGGGCAGGAAGACAGTCGTGCTCAACCTATACTGGGGGTGTGTGTATGCGGAGGGTTCACGTGCTTCATTACATCATATTAACTTCTCAATCATTGAAAATTCCTACAGTGTAGCTGAGGAATTAGGAAAAGACAACCAAAATTAGAGCAATTTTGCATATCCAGCAGTGCAAATACTTGCGGGCAGTTTTCTGAAACGAGTAGGTGATGCCTTTTGCGTGTTGACAAATCATAGTTATCTATTAGATTGCATCATTTTTGAAAGAATTTAAAGAATTAAAGCATCTTCCACTCCTCAGGTTGGGTGTGCGTAGCATACTGCATTGCATCCAGTTTTTCCTGCAATACATAGCATGGACTTGCCCAAATTGAGATCTCTGCAAACGATGAGGAACAGCATTTGCACTGGAATGTACGAACCAGCTAGCAGGTAAAACTCCCTGTAGAAACATTCAATAACATTACTGTTCCTACTTAAATCTCTGTTAAAGATATTATCTTTTTCTAAAAATAACATTGCAGGCATTTTAAAAAGGGAGTTCCCCGGCCATCTATTGTTATCTGCATAGCACTTTCATCTCCTTTAGGACTATCTTCCCTACATGTTGACAAGAACATCTACATAACTAGCTGTTCGTATGATAAACAGGTCTAAGATGATAGAATGACCCGGTATTAAAGGTCTAGATATGTTAATATCATCATCTGCTATCAGAAATCCTACTTGTCCTACATGGTGTGGTATTTGTATTTAGTTAATCCCAGTATTTTGGGGGGCTTGCTCCAGTTCGTCTTATAGTTAGGCAAGAGCCCATGTTTTTGGTGGAGAAATCAAGATTTGTGGGTTAGAGAATAACAATGGGCAAAGTCAATGCGCATCCAGCATGGCTTTGTGCTGTACAAATGACCTTAATACCCTGTATATCCACACAGCCTAGACTGCGCATGTCAATAAAATGTCCGAACAGCAGGTCACTCTGCTTTGTTTCATTCAATCACTCAGGAGCAGCAACTGAGGCTGATCTATGAACAGCTCAGATTAAAAAGTTCTTTAAGTACTTACAGATTAAGTTCATTCAAGATTATCTTTGACATACTTGAAAAATACAGATCTATTTTTACCTACACAGTACAGGAAATAAAGTTCTACACATGAACATAACAATTTTCTCAGGCAGAGAACAATAATGAGAGGAATATCTCCTTGCCTATATCACTTATTCATATCACTTCAGAATCTAGTCAGTGTTGAGAATGCACTTTAGCTTTTTTTTTTCTATTCTATATGATTTTCTTTATTACATATTTGAATGCTAGTCATTACTACTTTTTCATGCACAAAATATATGGGAGTTTTTCCATTGCAAATTGCAGCTCACAGCAGCACACAAAGCACAGGGAGCATCAGCTGACCCCTTGCTCACTGAATCGTCAGTTATCTCTCAGTGACTATACTATACGTCCTTTGTCTAATCTAAGCAAAAAGGTTTGGCATCTCTGGGTTAAAATGCAAATGCCTAGTAAGAGCATGTCCATAGAGAGCCAGATGCCTGTTCTTTAGACTAAAAGAAAAATCACCTTTCTTCAACAGCGGAGAAGTTTTATTTTGGCTAGAAAAACCTGAACTGGGAACTTCATTTTTCACCCTTTTCTCTTCATAAACATGAACCTCAACCTTGCGCTGACACAAAGACTAAGAGTAATCTTACTAAAAACTGGTCCTTTTATAATCACTCTAGAAATCTGATATTACTTAACCCTCGTTTTATTCTTTAAGTGCCCGCAAATGGCTAATTATTGGTTTTAAGATGTATTGAAATGCTTCATACTTAAATACAACTTTTGCAAAAGTTGCCTAGCACTATTGCTGTATAAACTGTTAAAGAAAAAAAATACAAAAAATAAGAAGGTTATCTCATACCTCTGATACATTACTGTAAGAAGGCTTTTGAGCATACAAATATGCGATCAACTGGGGAATGAATTAGCAATTCTGCAGTGCTTTTCCACTTGATCTATCCTCACCTTCTGTGCAAGGCTTCTTCGGTAAGGACTCTTCAAAGTCACGCTATGTGATATTCTTTTAAATTGGAAAAAAAAAAAAAAAAAGAACCAGAAATCTCCTTTGAAGAGCCTTTCTTCTATTTGTTCCACTTTCTAAGATGCTCTTTTAGCTTCACAGGATTAGAAATTCTTTCAAAAAATTTCAGATGTTCTCAGAATTCCTTCCACCAGAACACAGCCCAGCAGCAGGTTCAGGAGTTAGGATTCTGAGACCACTTCGTAAAGCTGGCGGCTTAATAATAAGGGTAATAACTGACTGCAGAATTGGTATCCATCCCAGATTAAATAATTCAAACATATTGCTCTCGTGTTCAAATTTCATTGACACATCTGCCCCAATTATCTTATCTCATCCTCTTCTTCTCATCTATTTCTTCCAAACACACTGAAGAAAAGAGGTTATCACAGAATACCACAAAATCTTTAGCACAGATCTGCTTCCGCAACATGAAGATATCATCTTGACTTCAGCGTCCTGGTTAAGAAGTCAGCAAAAATCTGCCTTGATAGTGTTGCTACACAATATGATGTTAATTTAATAAAGGACAGCAGCCATTTACAAACCTCACCAAAAATAAAGCAAATCTAGTTTTAGATATAAGATTTGTGTCCTAAATCTGCAGCAAAATTACCTTTGAAAATACATGTATTACATTTTTGTAAAAGTCAGGCATCTGATTAACAATAAATAGGACCAGTACCTCTCAACTCAGGACTACACTTTTTGACCTAGAAACTAGAACTTTAATTACTTTTTCATTAATAACTAAACTAGAATAAAATTGATGCGTATGAAACACACGAGCAGTTGACACCTTCACCTGCACAGCTGAAGAAAAATCAGCCCTCCCACATCCACAGCACTCTACAATACAGATGAGATTCCTAAACACTTACTTTGATAAATAATAGGCTTGTATATAAAGCTATAAACACAGTCATGTTCTTCCTTTGATCTTTACAGCATGTTTAATGAAATTCCTCAAAACCGAGTGACAAAAACATTACAAAACTGAACTTCAAAGACAGCCCTTTCCTCTAACTGTCAAAAACACTAACTTGCCTTTCCCTTTTAGCTAAATTTTGCTACTTCTTTGCAGGATGAGTAGCTTTACTATGTGTTCATAGTCCCGTTACCTTGTCACTTTAATTGCTGAGCTAAGTTCACATTCATCAAATCTCACTTACAAGAAAAAGAGAGGAAGAAAAGGCAGGTACATAGCAGGAGACAAGCAGAGTATTATAAAATCTACTATATTTGCAGCTTGCCGCTCCTCAACTAAAGTCAATGATGAATATTTCAAAAATTTTTCTCAGATATTTGCATTTAATAATTTTCAAAATTATTACCATTCTAATAGTATTTTACATTCCACTGTACAGAACAACAGAACGTGTTAGAAACAATGTTTAAAGAGATCTGTCTTGATTTTTAACATTTATTAATTTAATAACAAATGTCCATTATTCATATGCAAATAGATGTGATTTTAGTCCAACACACGGGTGACCACAAGACAGCCGGTTAGAAAGACGCACAAAATGGCATAAGCCATTTCGACCTGCTAGTGCTGAAAGATATGTTGCTCCAGTGCATTTTCCTTGAGGGGAAGAGACAGGAATATTTAAAGGGTTCATTCTGCTGCATGTTAAACTGGTCAGCACTTGGCCATCCTTCCCTTTCAGATTTTGTTGCACACGAGAAAAGCCTTTACGCAGCCTGTCGCTTTTGAAACACGTAAACGTGAACACATTTGTTTAGTTCTTCAGGGACTCTTCTTCTTGCTTTTCTGTTCTGCTTTAAGCTCTTTTGCATTACATCTGGAGCTCAACGCTGTTAACATTTCTACTGCTGTCAGGTTGGCTCCTTTCATTATCAGTCGCTCTCCATCAGCTGCAAAGGGAACAAGTTTTAAGAACTCACGAAGTCTAAGTCACAATTGCTTTACTGTGCAGTTCTGTCTCATATATATAAATCTGAATACCCTGCTCATCTTATTTGATTAGAAAGTATTATTTAGCAAGGAATCTGGTTATACAACACTGTAAGAACAAATAACATATTAAATTGCACACAATACATACACAATTTTTATTTCTGTATTGTACCATCCAAAAATCAGAAGTGTTTCTCTAGATATACCTACAGGGAAAACATATTTGATGAGAATGGCTCACCCTATGCTCTGAAAGTCACGTAACAAAAGGCGTAGAAGGGACTGGAAGGCATAATTTCCACACATGGCTCAGCATTTTAGCAGCACATTGTATACGGTCTGTTTGACTTATTTCTTTAGCCAAAACAATGAATTGGTTTATGCAATCTGGTGGTTGTAATTTAAAACTAGAGAGCAAGAGGATTTGTAAAATTCTGAAAAAAATACGTTAAAATAGAGAAGGAGCATTAGAAGTTAAGTATAGTGCCCAAATGAAATATTTCATTTTTGAAATATTTGCAAATATAAAAGACACATACTCAAACCCATATAACGCAATACTGTGCACAGCTTCCAAGTTCCAGCCCCATGTTTGCCAACTACAAGGGCTGTAAACTCTTCACTTGGAAAATCATCAGCTCTTAGAAAGCGAAGAGTTCAGAGAGGTAGCCCTTGGCGTCAGTAAAATATATGGTTTTGGTTTTACACTGTGAGAAACATTAAGCTTTGCTACTTAGGTCTTAATACATCACAGTTAGAGACAAGGATGGGAAGGCAGAGGCATGGGAAAGGGAGAAGAAAGCATAGTCAACACTGTAATGACAAAGCCAAGAACGTCAAGAGCGTTCAATATACTTACAGATTCACTAAATATATGGAAGTTGGAAGAAAACTGCGTAACAAGGATCAATAATAATAAAAACTTTAGTGGGCTACCTGCCATATTGGGCCATTAAGGCACAGCAGGAAAGACGATGCAGCCAGGAAAGAGAACAAAAGCAGATTAGAGCCATCTGTTCACAGCCTGGACTCTGGGCTGCTTCCAGAGCTGACAAAATTTTCACCATCAGTTCCCTACCGATTCATAGAGTCACAGAATGGTTGAGGTTGGAAGGGACCTTTAAAGATCATATGGTGCAATATATATTCATTATACTTTCAGAGCAAACCAAGAAATTTGTCATAGATCAGTTGATCTCATTCTGTAAGTCCTTCTGTACATGGAAAGTCTTATCTCTATGAGCTGTTCCTTCACACTCAGTAAATAGATAGCAAGTTACTCACACGCATAAGCATCTCAAGCATTCAACTTTCTGTTCTCAAGACTAACATGTCTCTGCCACAATAACATAATAAAAGGGACAGAATGTGAACATATTTTTACATTGAAACAGAGCTACATTCACTGGAATTCTACCTGAGTTGCAAGGGTGCACAAGTATGTCAGTTCAAATGTGGACTCCAGCCTAAAATTAAATCAGCTCTTTGACCTAAGATCCACCAGATCTAACTGTTGTGTGAAGATACATATACACATTTCTCTATACATTAGTCTGCTGGTAATTCCCTCTTTCTTTTTTATTCTTAATTGTAAACATATACCTGTGGACTGGAATGAAGACAAAGTAACCACAAGTGGGAGGAAAAAAAAAATAGAGAAATAATAGTACCATAACAATCTAAATCTAGAAGGATTTTCTGCAAAGATTAAAAATGAACTCCTTACCAAACATAACATCTACAAGTGGTTCAGACCCATCATGTCTCACATCAGTAGTCACTTCACAGTTCCTGTTGGTGTCATAGATTTTTTTATGATATATTCGTTGAAGAAATATTCTGAAAATACATTTGAAAAAGTATTTTATAGATATTTCTATAATTAATTTTAATAGCTTGATGTTGCTAGCTGATCAAAGTATAAATAAAACAGAAATTTCATTTAATAATTTCAGACATGTACTTCTTATGAGAATCAGTCTTAAAAAGTCAAATGGATGTGTTATGTGCTAACACATAAAAAGTATATCAAAGAATTTTTCAAATATCCAGCATATGCACATTCTGCATTTGTGTCAGCTCAATTATAATATTGAAAAAGCAGAATCAGCAAAGTCATTCTCATTTTTTCTTTATAGGCCATTTACTTACTGTTTCATTGTTTGGGTTCAGACAGCATTTAGTTATTTAACAATATCTGTTTCCAGCAGGTTTCTCACATGTATGAAATCTACTTAACATTCAGTTGACCTAAAGACATTCTAGATTAACTTGTCTTAATACGACCATTTTAATAGTAGATGTGTGCGCAAGTCTATGCAAAATGACATTTTATATTCCTTCCATGCAGAACTTGTACAAGTTGCATCACTCCGGAAGCATAATTACTTAGATCTCTTGAGCAGCCAATTACCAAGACACAGCAGCTACCGTTTCCTCCTTTCTCTCCCCTTACAAGCATTTGGACCAGTAACTTTAATCCCACACCTACATCCTCAGCAACTGAGAAAACAGCATCTGTATGAGTAGTCTGGAAGAGTTAAACACACACATTTGCATGCCAGAGGCTATACTCAAGACATGGAGATCTTCTACAAATTTGCCTAAAATTAATGCAGCGTGCATCCCAACAATACTTCACAGAGATATAGCCCTTAAGACAAAAATAGCGTCTTCTCAATCGTTAAAAAAAGGTTAGGGTTCTGTCAAGACTAAAGTAAACTACGAAGCCATGCTAACTCCAAGCCCTCGAAGACCAAGGTCATGACAGTTTCATACAGCATAAAGCAGACACAGAAGCTTGTGAACGGGAGCTCCTTCCTCAAAGGATGCACAAAAAAGTCATGTCATTTTCTTGCAGACTCGCTCCTGCTGTGTGCTCTTTCTTTTGCTCGCCCTAGTGACAGCAAACCACATGGTACTGCAGCGGCAGTCGTTTTAACTGCCGCGTTTTACCTCTATTACCAATGCAGTCAGGGCAACAGCGGGAGCCGGTCCGGCCTCTACTCCGTCCCTTTTATTTGGGGAACTACCTTCCGTATTTCTAAGCGCAACTGCGCGACAACCCGGCAAGCATGGCTGCGGAGGAGCCACCGAGGCAGGGCTCTGTGGAGGGTCCCGGGGCACAGGCCACACTGCGGTCACAGCTTTAGCTTTTAGTTCACCGCCGAACTATTAAAGGCTGCGAGGATAATCTCAGCCCCCGAATAAACAAACAAAAGGACAGACGTCTAGCGCTCACACCTGCTGTGGAAAACATAAAACCCAAACCCTGCGAGCATCGGCCGTATGAGGGGAGCTCTTTAAACTGAAGCAGCGAGGGAAGCCCCAAGGCCGGAGGCG